AATACCCGTTATTTCTGCATCTTGTACACTTGGTAATATATGAATATTTTGACCATTAGCACTATTCCAAATTTTAATAACACCATTTCGCGCACCTGTTGCAAGTTTTCGACCTAATCGATCGATTGAAATACATGTTATTTCTTCACCATCATGTGCATCAATTATAAAATATGCTTTACGACCTGATTCAATATCCCATGCACCTATACTTGAATTATCCGAACATGTTATTAACTTTAAAAAAAAAATCATATAAAATAAAGAATATTTTCTTTTTTTGAAAATAAAAATTAAAGAATTACTAGTCTTAATTTTGAATTATATACAGCACAACTAACTGATGCTGAATGTGTTTCAGTTAGACTACCATCTTTCGATGTATCTTGTCCTAGTTTCATTAAACATAAATAATCATTACATGCTAAAACTAGACCACCGGGTAAACTTGTTTCAGTATTATTAATTGATTTATTAAGATATAAATCCGTTGGAAATGGACCAAATGTTGGTTTTTTTCCACCTAATGTACTTGGAAATCGAATAGGAATTGTTTGAAGACAAAAAAATTCTTTTAAATCCCAAGCTTTAACCATCTATATCATAATACAAAAAAAAAAAAGGATTAAAATTTCTATAGCAAAACAAAAACAAAATCATACAGCATCTTGACTAAATGTATAACATTGTACTAAACGTTCATTAATTTTAATATCAATTACAGGTGCATGATGTCCTTCTAAAATAGCTATATTTTTTTGTGTTACATATGGATTCCAAATACGTGCAAGATAATCAGCACCACCAGTTATTAAAATATTTAATGCTTTACTATAATCAAAACATTCGCATCCCTAGAAATTTTTTTTTTTTTTGAAATTTTATAGAAGTAAATTTTCTTTTTTTTTATTTACTTTGTATAATCGAAATATATAAGGTTTCTTTAATTTGTTTATATTTGTAATAATCAAAGAATTTCGATTATCACCACTTGATGCAATAATTGAATTATTATGTGGTAGATAAAGTATTTTACGAACATATTCTCGATGAATCGCACCCATATTATGATATTTAACAAATTTTTCATGTTCTTTTAATTCCTATATATAGAAGATTAAAAGAATAAATTTATAAAAAGATAACAAAACAGAAAAAAAAAAAATAGCTTTTTTTCTTCTATATACTAACATCCCAAAATATACGTTGAGTAGGATTTGCTGACATTTTATCAAATTTTGTTGGATCTATTTTTCGTCGAACTGGATCAAATAGAGAATTAATTGGATTTTTAAAATATAATATATGAATAAAACCAGAATCATCACCAAATATTAAAGTTGATTCATTAATACCATTCTATAAATATGAAAAAATTTGGTTTTGTATTATTTAAAAAAAAAAAAAGAAATCAATTGTTTTTGTCTACCGTCTGACTTGGATTATATTCAAGACAAGTAGGTACATTTTTAATACCTTCAAAAAAAAAAAAAAAAAGAAAGAAAAATTCATATTCAAAACTTCTCATTCATGTAGATTTACCAAATAATACAAAATCTTCAAGAAATGTTTCACTTGTAATAGTAAAAAACCGTAAATCACGACTGGTAGATGCAATTACTAATTTATGTACATCAGACATATAAATAGCATCTGTTATCCACATTCCAGCTCGACGACGATTTTGTCCCATATTACCTGTATTATTACTACTTGATGTATCATCAAGTTCATCAACAATACAATATGTTTTTTCTAGATTAAGATATGGTGTCCATAAACCTAGATACCCTTCTTTACTTATATTAATAAATCGAACTGGATTTTCTAAATGAAGAATTTTTGCTGTTAATTCTTGCTAAGAAACAAAAAAAAAATAAAAACAAAGAATTTTTATAAATTTATTTTTAAAATTAAAATATAATAAAAAAAAAACCTTATTATGAACGACATGTCGAATTTTTGGCTCATTATTAAAAGGTGATATACGAAGAGTATTTGCATAATCTTCTTCTTGATAAAATTGAAGCATATATGTACAAAAATCATTCCAATTAATTAATCCTGTTTCTTTTGAATTAAGCTAGATAAATCAAAATAAAAAATAAATAAATTTATTTCAAAATTTTATTATATTACTTTATCAAATAATTTTTCTAATTGATTTCTATATTGAGCAAGATCTAATATAGATTCAAATGAATTAATAAATTCGTCTTTATTTAATGAACCTATTAATTAATATCAATGAAACAATAAAAAATTTTATTATAAGAAAAGAAAATTTTTGTTTTTCATACCAGTTGTTTTATCATGAGTTTTTGTAATATTCTCATAATTATCAATTGTTGCACGATCAAATCGTTCACGAAGAAGACGAAAATCTTCGACACGTAATTTCTTTTCAATAGTAAGCGATTCATTACTAAATATAAGATATATTTAAAAATTCTCATATTTATTAGTCTCATACTTGAATTTGTTAGTGATATACATTAAGAAATAAGAAAGTAAGAAGTACTATTCTTCTTCTTCTTCTCCTTACAACTTATCAAATTTCTATACTTCAAATTTTTCATATATGATTGAGAATAATAAAAAGAACGAATCATAGTGAAGCATTGAAATTTGAGAAGAAGGTTTCAACTCATTAATGATCTTGATAGTATGCATATAAATTACCTGTCAATTTGAAGAAGAAGTTCATTGTTGTTTAGTGCAGTTGTTTCATCTTCAATTTTTATATTTAAATTTGTATTCGTTGTCATTATAGTTGTAATTTCTTTTTTGTTTCTGTTTTACTATTTTCGTGTTTGTCTAATCGTCTAAAATATTATTATTGTCGGTTAAATATAGACAACATCATCATTATCGATAAAATTGTTGTCGACATAAACCAAAACAAGTTTTTTTTTTATAGGGCTTCTCTACTTTAAGTTTTTTTTTCAATACTTTATCGTCATTTATGTGTAGCGTGTTGTCTTTTTTTGTGCTCGTTTCTGTGGTTGTCACCTTGTTAAACAGCAACCGTCACTTAGTTCTCTTGTTCTTCTAGCAGTCGCGACAACATAAAGCAGAATTAAAAAACATTGGAAAAAGAAATGACGAAGAAGAAGAGAAAAAAAGAAAGTTAGTAATGCGATCGTACATGTAAAAAAGAAAGATCTGAAGAAATTAAAAGCTATTATATCCCTAACGAGCGAGACGATAAAAGCAATCGAAAGATCGATTTTTTTATTTATGACAATAATTTTCCATCAAATCAAGTGTAGACTTCTGCAACATATCAATCATATTTAAAAAAAGCAATAAAAATTTAACGAAAAAGAAATTTATTGTTGTTACTTTTTTTGACCATGAAAATACGTGAAAAAGTTGTTTTTTTTTCTGGAAGTTTCACGAGTGTTTGTTCTCTAAAAATAGGTTAAAGTATTTTAACTTATAAGATTTCGTTACAAACAACTTTGTCACATGTTTTTACGAATCAAAAGAAAGGTAGCGACCAGAGATGAGTACAGGACATATTTGTCTGTCCTGACCTGAAGCCGTACGCAGTTCTAGCGTACGATAGAACCAGACAGTAAGAATTCTTATATTGACTTTCGATTATCAAAGTACATATTAGTTATCTGATAGTTAATTTATTTCAAATACAACAACTAAAATCTTCAATAATGACTACTATTATAAATACAAAACAATATAGAAATATCTTGAGTCAATGAAGCAAATAGAAGGTTGAAAAAGTACTTGATCACAAAAATGATACAAAGAAAAAGAAAATAATATGGAAAACAAATGTTTTTATAAAAAATATTTTATCTTTTTGTATTATTCTAAACAATAAAATTTTAATCAGTTGTTCAGAATTAAGGCTAATGATTCTCAACACTAACTGATGTAGCAAGTATTGAGTGAGAATAAATCGGACATATCGAGTCAAATGGAAGAATTCGTCTTGATACTCCTTCTAAAACTGCAAATTATTAGATTCTAATTTTGATTTATCAAGTTCTAAATTAAGATAACGATTAAGTTCGTCGAGTTTTTTTTACCACAAGATGAAATTGCTTCAATTTCTTATTCGCTACATTTTTCGTCAACACCAAAACTACTTGATTCAAATCGACTAAATAAATATTTTTGAAAATTTCTTGTGTAACAGTTTGTTAGTTTCTTGTCAATCTACTTCAAAGGTGAGAACAGGAGAACTTTTTCTGTCCTATCCTATAACCAGCTCTGGTAATGACATCTTTTTGTATTAAATTTTTGTCAGTTTTAATACGGAAATAACTATACAAAGTTTTCATATTTCATCTATTCATTATTAGATTTTCAAAATCAAATAATATCTAAACTAATGAATTTAAAAAGTCCGAAAATGAAGCTTTGATGAGAGAAATAGCATGTAATAATAACAATCTATAACATATTTGAATATTTATTATTTGTTTAGAATCACTGTTGATGCACAAATCATTTTTTCAAAATATTATTGTTGGGTTTCAATTTATTTTTAGTTAACTGATCGAATAACATATTTCTTCTAAAAACAAATTTTCTTCAAATGATTTGTGTCAAGTCCTAATTAAACTAGAAACAAAAAATGAAACAAGCAGATCTTTACAAAAGTATACATTTGAAAATATAAATTTATTAGTTGAATAAAAAATAAACTAACACAATGAAAGATGATTTCAAGAAGGTAGATTTAATTTTAGTCGATTACTGCTAAGATATAACTCAATATTTTGATCAATAATACTAACATTAACTTTATCATTGTATTTTACATAATTTTCTAACAATTAATATAACAATCAAGAGAAAAATAAAAAGAAATTTTACAATCATTATCAATATATTTCTAAATAGATTTTAACTGTTTACAGTTTCAATTCAATGTTTTCTCTTCTCTCTATCGATATTATTTAAAGATTTAACGATATATTATTAGAATAAACAAACAACAAAAAAAATCAGCAAAAAAAGTTCATAGATCATGTTGTCCAAATTTGTATTGTCTTGAAATCAGATTCAATATAATCACGATCAACAATTGGATATTCACATGTACATTTCATTTTATCATTTAATTGATTAAAAACAATCGATTTAAAACTGTATCGACCTGGATCAGCAAGTAATACATGAATATGATATTGACGAGCAACAATAATTAAATTTAATATTTGTTTTGCAAGTTGATCATCATAACACATATCACCAATGATAAGCATATCGATTGTATTTTTCTTGAAAGTCAATAATGAATTTTCAAGAATATTGTCAGAAGAATATTTATCGATCGTTATATTATTTAATCGAGCATTATGACAAGTAGCGATTAGAGCATCTTGAAGAAATAAATAACAAGGATTAAAACGATTGAAATTAATCAAATAGTTGTTTACTTTTATCAATATCATTAGCGATTACATTCACTGCTCCTGCCATTTTAGCAGCTATTGCACTTGCACCACATCCACATCCGATATCTAATACATGACGTCCTCGAATTAATGATTTATTATCTAATAAATAACTGTTGATAATAATTAAAAATTGTTTGTAAAAAAGAATAAAATAAAAGAAATCCATTACCGAGACAATCCTTGACTTCCAGGCCAAAGAAAAGCCCACCATGGATCGGATCGATCTAGTTTAGTCATTGCTTCTTCATAAGGAACATGCCAAAGAGGATGAGATGAAGTTAATATACTCAATGTTAATTCAGGTACAAGAAGACAAGCATGACGAACTGGTGGTAGAAGATGATGAAGAATATATTCGCATGTTTTCATTTGCATGATTTTTAGTTTTTTTTTCTTTCTGAAGTTAAAAAAAAAGAATGTTTAATAATTGAAACTATTCAAGGAATAATTAATAAATAACAACTAGTAAATAATATCTCAAGTAATGAAATCCATTGAAAATAACGTGTCGTCAAGGATTCAATCTAAAATCAAACATCATATATATATCAACTATCGACAAATGAGCCAAAAGATATACTCAACAATATTCCATCTTAGCTACTATTCAAAAATTCTTGTATTTTAAAAACAATCATTCACATTTGAATAATAATTATGTATTTTCAAAAATAAATTCTACGTAATAAAAACATATTGTCATTGAAATGAAATTCAAATATCATTAATCATTCATCGAAAATATAGTTTAGAATGAGTTTAACATGCAAGAGTTGTACGTGTCAATATTCTTTGATCTTGTTTATCAATATCCATACATTTCAGGAAATGAGCATCCTTTTGGATGATTTATTATTGTACACCAATGAGATTCATAAACATAATAATTAACTTGATATTGTTTTAATATTGAATGAATATAACGAAGTGAATTTCGTGAAAACATTCTATAAATAAGTTTAATACGATGACGAATTTTTCTATATTCATAATGAGAATGAACAATAATTCGACGACCTGTTGATAATTTTAAATTAGCCATTGTACCTGCAAATATTGATTCATTTTGAATATTTAAATTAATCCATTCAATCATTTTTTTTTTGCCTATTGCTAAAATCAGTACTGAAATTTGTACTCACAATATAGTTCAGTACAAAATTGCGAAGCAAAAGCTGCGCGTGTCGAATCTGATGGATAGTTTTTAAACATAAAACTGATAACATTTAGATCAAGATTGTCTCCTTGTCAATACCATTATAGCCTGCATGTAATCAAAGAAGAATTTGCAACAAACTAGATTCCTATTAGAAACAGTGTTCAAATGCTTTATTGTCTCAATAAACAGTAACTAATATCATTCCAACGTGGCCAATGAAACACTGAATACATCCAAACAGATGAATATTCAGATTTTGTCCTCATCAAATCAGATAGGTAATGGATATTTTTTCGAGTGGGATCCTATCTGATGTATATTATTGTTTATGGAATAGTAGAAAAGAGTAACAAATAATAACAATAAAATATCCATTATTATATCGTATCAATCTGAAAGTAGTATCGCAAATATTAGTCGTAACTAATCAAATTGTATTTTTCTTGACGACAATTTTTGCATCTCCCAATAGACAAGAACAAGAAAAGCAACTAATTATGATATCAGTGATACAATTAGTATCATAATGTTTCACCATTAAGTAATCGAGCACGAAAGAAATTTCTCGGAATAAAAAAATGTTCATTTCAGGCAGAAAATATCAATCATATGAAACTTAAAAATTAAATGACTGCTTTTCAGTGAAATAAAATTACAAATTTCAGATACCGATTAATAGAAGTGTCGTCGCATAGATGACGGCATATTCTAGTTCGTCTGAGGTTCTTATTCTGCCCAAATTTCGGATATATAAGAAAATAACAAAAACAATAAACTTCTCTTTTTATTTATCTTATACAGTTTGATTTTTTTTCAATAACAATAAAAAAACTTTCTAATCATCATATCAGTTAACAACAGTCATAGAAAAAAAGCCTATTGAAATTATGATTGTTTAGATAATGGTGAAATCAAAATAACACCATCACCACGTACAAATAACATTGGAATTTGTCGTTTTGTTGGCTAGAAAAATCAAATTAAATACAACTAATTATAATAAATTAATAGATATTGCTTTTAATTTACTCGATAAATTTGTTCAAATGTTTCTTCATCAATTTCTATTGTTGTTATTGTTTCTTCAACGTCACCCAAAATCATATTTAAATGTTGATCAAATGCCTATTAATAGACAAAAAACACTTCTTATTCTCTATTCGTTTTATGTTTGTTCTTACATGAAGACGACCACGTAATTCACGTTCATTACGCATTTTAACACAAACTTTTTCATCAAGACTTAATCGAACAAGATCAAGTGGTTCTTCAACTGATGTTGCTGTTGTTGTTGCTACCTTTACTCATTCAAAAAAACAAAATTATTATTCACATAAACAAAACACTTACTTGATCACCTTCGTCTCCCATTTCTTTTTATATATATATATATTTTTTTTTTGTTTTATTAAGATTGAAATTTCACTTTAAAGAGATCAATATATATTCACTTATGTCATTATTAGTGACATCTCTCAAAGAAATAAGAATAATAAATAAATTAAATTTTAAAATTAAATATCTTTTATTTAAATTTAATTTTTTTCTTAAAATAAAAATCAACATAATGAATAGATAGAATAATTAAATATAAAGATTAAATTAATTGAATGATTTTTTTCATTGGTAGGAAAAAAAAAAGAAAGAAATGATAGAGGAAAGGTGAGAGAGAGGACAGACAAATGACATCAGACCAATATGGCGATAGACATACAGATTAGTATTTCTCCGAGTGGTGTAGAAGAAGAAGAAAAAAACAATCTATGTAAAATTGATTTCATTGATTGATTCTTTATTAATAATTAAGTAAAATTTTTTCAAATCAATTGAATAAAAAAATGAAATCAGTTATGATTAAATGCACTTAAGTTTAATTGTAAACAAATTTTATTTTACTGATTTACTGAATGAATCATTCGTTTTTTTTTTCTTTTTTTGTTTTATTTAGATTTATTCTCTTTTTTCGAATGGTGCCTGTTCACGGTATTGACGAGACATAGAAAAGAAAAACTAAGATCTTTTGTATTGGTTTTTTTATATACTCGTGGCTAAAATTCGAAATCGGTTTGTTTTATTTTGTCAATTTCATCATCATCATCATCAAAAAAAAAAATTATTTAGAACAAAAGTGGATCCCAGTGGATTCCAGCCTGGTCTTGTTGACACGCCTGGTGCTGGTGGAGTTTGGCAAGGTCCACCACCAGGTTCACAACTACCATCACAAACTCCAACTCATTTAATTCATCCACCACCTCCACCTCATCATCATCCTGGAATTACTACTGGACGTATACCAATTATGCCACCACGAGATGTACATTTTCCGTAAGAGATTTTTGTATTTTATTAATATATGAAAAATTTTTCTTTTCGTTTAATTAGTCCACAACATATGAGATCGTTTAGGTAAGGAAAAAAGTAAATGTTTTTTTTTTTATAATTGTATGTTACTTAGGCCGTCATTACCACCACCTCCTCCGTCACCTGAATATCGACTGCACGATTTAAATAAACGTTTATCAATGAGAACAGAAGTACAACAACAAAAAAATTGATTTAAATCAATAAAACATGAAAATATATTTTTGTTTTTTTTAAGGAATGCGATAGTCAATGGTGGGATGCATTTGTAAATGAATTTTTTGAAGATGATGCTACATTAACAATATCAATTTGTTTAGAAGATGGACCTAAACGATTTAGTATGTTAAATTCTTTCTGTTTTTTTTTCTAAAATAATATTTTTATATTGTGTTTTTTCTTAAAAAACAAAAGGTATCAGTCGTATATTAATTCCACGTTTTTTTCGTACATTATTTGAAGGTGGTGTTAATGAAGTTTATTTTCAATTAAAACAAACCAAAGAAATTTTTCATAGTCCAACAATATCATTGGATTGTGAACAAGCATCAATGGTAACTTGTTTTGGAAAACCATCACATATTAAAGTAAAAAACAGAAAAAACAATGAAAACTAAAATTTTATTTTTATTTTTATTTTAAAGGTTTGTACAGAAGGACATCTTATACTTGAATATACATTTGATGATTTAATGCGAATAAAATCTTGGCATTTTGCAATAAAACAATTTCGTGAATTAATTCCACGAAGTATTGTTGCCATACCGGTATGAATATAATAAGAAAAAAAAAAATAAACATATTGATACAGTTTGAAATTCTTGTTCATAGTTTAATTGAGAAGAATTCTCTATGTTTTTTTATTTTGAAAAAAAATATAATTAAATTTAGACGGATAATCCAAGTTATCTTGATCAATTATCAAAAAATTTAACACGAAGTGGATTAACATCTGTTATGTTAAATTTTCTTAGGGTATAAATTTAATTGATTAATTTGTTTTGTTTTTTTTTTTGAATTTGATCTATTAATTTCTAGTTATGTGAAATTCTTGAACCAATGCAAGAATTAATGTCACGTCATAAAGCAACAACATTTTCACCGCGTGATTGTTTAAAAACAATTTTACATCAACGTTGGTCAAAAACTTGTTCAGGTAAATATAAAATTTTTTTTTGTTCGATTTATGATCAAAAAAAAAAGCAAATATTCTTCTATCAAGAAAATAGAATAATAATAATCGTAACAAACGAAATAATTCTCTTTTTTTAAACTTTTATTCAGAATTTCCTCTGAGTCCTTCATTTCCAACAACATTACCATGTCAAACAGTTCTAGTATCAGGTATTCAATAAAATACACGCTTTCACTTAATTACTGCGCTCCACACAATATATTCTTTTTGATTATTTAATAGAATACACTTCATATTATTATTATTATTTATCTTTTGATATTTGTTTTTAGACAGTCGACCACCAGCAAAACCACGACGGAAAAGAAAAGCAACAGCAGCAGCAAATAATGCTAATACACCAGGAAATAATAATAATACTAATACTCCAAATCCTATGCCAACAGCAAAAGACACTAATATAAATCATTGTACAATTTCAACACCAACGAAAAAACGTTCACCAGCTGCTAATACAACTTATTCTCAACCAGTACAAGGAACAACTACTCCAAATATAAATAGTATGCCTGGGGTAAATATATATATATATTTATTATTTAATAAATAAAATATGAAATTATTTTTTTTGTTTTCTATAGGATGTTATGATTGTTGGTGAACCATCATTAATGGGTGGTGAAATGGATGATGAAGATGAACGATATATAACTCGTTTAGAAAATACTCAATATGATCCAAATGTAACAACATCTAGTCATCATCCACCACAATATCTTTCACCAACTCATCAAATGTTACCAGGATTTCATTCACAACAACAACAACAAAATCCAAATCTTCAATCATTACTTCATCAAAAACAACAATTTATACCTAATTCACCACTTGTACATACAAATCAAATAAAACGAGAACAAATGTCATTTCCTGGTTCACCTCAACAACAACAACAACAGCAATTACCATCGATGTTTTCTACTGGTGGTCCACCAACACCAAATGCAAATACAAATTCAAATATATTTCCGCCACCACCACCATTGACACCAATCAATGGTGATTTATCAACTGGCGGAAAACGAATTTCAACAACAACATCAAATATTTCTGTATCAGGAAATACATCAATAACAATGAATAATTCTTCGAATTCTCCTCCAACGCCATCTTCAACAAATCATAATCAGGTTTGAATGAACAAATTTAGTTTTTTTTTATAAAAAAAAACTTTGCCATTTTTTTAAAGTAGACTTATGAAACGAAGGGCATTATGTTAAGAGTAGGTACCTAGCTGAGGGTGAGAGTGAAGGTTAATACTTTCAAATGTATAATATACTATCAATAGATGAGCCAAATAAGTCTCGATAGGCTTTCGGCAAGACGCATTGTAATGTCTAAAATCGATCATCCATGATCACTTGATGCTTATTCGTTTTTAGACGTATGAGATATCTCTACTAGCCTTTTCAAGTGCCTACGGATGATCGATTTTAGGCACTCGAAAGAAACAAGATATTAATTATATAGTTAGACGATTAGTATTTTTTTTTTTGGAGTAAATAAATTCTAAAGAGAACATTCATATTTTCTATGCCATAGTGAAATGGATACTAGATTAAAAAAAATAAAAACCTAAGCTTTAAAAACAATAGTTTGAATTGTTTTTTTTTAAAATTAGAATCCTTCCACACCAGTTCCAACAACAACAACAAATCCTCCAACAACACCGACGAATTCTTCTTGGAATAGTTCAACAACTAATCCTAGTAATTCTTCTTCATCAAATAATCCCGTTATTGGTGAAAGACAACAAGAACCACATACACCACCAGCTACACCTCAACAACAAACAATTGCTACAGCCTCATAAAATGAAACAAAAACTTTATATTAGCAAAACAAATCTCTTTCATTTTCTCATTTCTAAGAAAGGAAAAGAAAAAAGCTGATGCATTTTTAATTTCTTCTATGTAAAAAAAAAAATAAAAAACTTTGTTGTCTGTGTTTTTATCTCATTAGTCTAGTTCTTGTTTATTTTCTTCTCAAACCAAACTTCTATCTCTCTCTCTATATGTACATTTATTGTTTCTGAATTTCAATTTTTCATCCTATTCGATAACATTTATCTTTATCCCTTTCTCTCCACACGCATTCCAAAGATCTGTGTCTGTGAGATCAGAACTGATATTTCAATTAAGATCCTCTTTCCTTTTTTCTTTTAAGAACAACAATAAGTCTTCGTTTTTCTTCATATTTGTTTTCTATAATTAAAATTAATGCATTTGTGTGTGTATGCGTGTGTGTAATCTATTTGTTTTTAGGCAAAAGCATTTTTTTTTCTTTTACAAAAAAAATATGCTTTATGCATTCATATGTATAAGAAAATAACAGTGAATATAAATATATTCTCCTTTTTTTTTTTGGTTCTTCTTGTGTATATGAATTTCTTCTTCTTCTTTTTTTTGTCTCAATGATAATATACGAATGATGATGTTTTCCTTCGTTTTTTTTTTTTTGTCTTTGTTGCTTATTTGTTTTTTTTTCTATTATCTTTATTTAAGAGAAAGAAAAACAATATTGATATATATATATATATATATATATATTCATATGCGAATATTTAAATTACATCTATTGATGTTTTTTTTTCTTTTCTTCTAGATAAAAATCGAAATGATGATGTTTAGCCAAATAATATTCAATTTCAGATTAAATAAAATAAAAAATGACAGACGAACAAGAACTTCTTGATTATGATGAAACAGATGATGCACCACAACAAACAGAAACAAAAAGTGGAACATCACATGGTAGTAGTGGTACAACAAATGTACAAAATGGTAGTACAACTGGTACACAAAGTGGACCAATACGAGGTTCATATGTATCAATACATGCTAGTGGTTTTAAAGATTTTCTACTTAAACCTGAATTACTTCGTGCTATTATGGATTGTGGTTTTGAACATCCATCGGAAGGTTGAAATAATTAAAAAAAAAAAAAAAAAAAAAAAAAAGAAAAGAAAAATCTAAATTCAAATAAATGAATATTTTTTTTTGTTTTTCTTCTAGTTCAACATGAATCTATTCCACAGGCTATTCTTGGTACAGATATTGTATGTCAAGCCAAATCGGGTATGGGTAAAACAGCTGTTTTTGTTCTTGCAACACTTCAACAACTTGAACCTGTTGATGGACAAGTAAAAAGAAAAAACAAAAAAAGAAAAAGAAAAATTGAATTAATTTTTAGGTATCAGTAATTGTACTTTGTCATACACGTGAATTAGCTTTTCAAATAAGTCGTGAATATGAACGTTTTTGCAAATATATGTCATCAGTTAAAGTAGCTGTATTTTTTGGTGGTCTACCAGCAAAACATGATGAAGATATTTTAAAAAAAAATTGTCCACATATCGTTGTTGGAACACCTGGCCGTATTTTAGCATTAGCTAAAAGTAAAGCACTTAATCTACGTCAAATTAAACATTTTATTATTGATGAATGTGATAAAGTACTTGAATCACTTGGTAAGAATTTTTGTTTTTATTTTTTTTTTTTTTGAATATAACTTTTATTTTATCTTAGATATGCGTCGTGATGTTCAAGAAATATTTAAAATGACACCACATGAAAAACAAGTTTTAATGTTTAGTGCTACATTGAATAAAGAAATTCGACCGGTGTGTAAGAAATTTATGCAAGATGTAAGTTTTGATAATAAAAAAATTTTTTTGTTTTTTTGTTGATAAGAAATTATTCTGTTTTCGTTTTTAGCCAATGGAAATTTATATTGATGACGAAACAAAATTAACACTTCATGTAAGTATTTTTGTTTTTTGTTAAAAAAAAAACAAAAATAAGAAATTTAATTTCTCTTATAAAATAGAAAGATTTATTCATTATTATATATTGAGTCTATTTGATATATAGTATTATTATTTCACTAATGCGATATTTTATAATGATTTGTTTATCTTCGAGATGGTAAAAGTGGACTTCATATTTTTAAGATATATGCACTTTTGGAGAGTTAAAAAGGAGTCTCATTCTTCTATTTAATCCGTATAAATATTAATTAGCTTCAAATGAATACTAATTATATATATATATGAAATTTCATTCATTCGAATATGGCTTAGAGACATCTGATAATATATCATACAATCCAATTCAATCTTTATTTATATGATAAAATATTTTGAAATATATATATATATATATATATGTGAATGAATATGATCTACTTCAGATCTGTACAAATCCTAAATATGGGGATTAATAATATATATATATATGTCCCTAATAGAAGATTTTGTTAATATCAAAGTGATTTATCCAATAAGATTGTCCATTTATGTAATAAACTTTGATAACTAAAATCATCAAATGATATGAAATCAAAATAATTTAACTTTATTTTAATAAAGGGTCTTCGTCAACATTATGTTAAATTACGAGAAAATGAAAAAAATCGTAAATTAATTGATTTATTGGATAAATTGGAATTTAATCAAGTAGTTATATTTGTTAAATCGGTACCACGTTGTACAGCTTTATGCAAATTATTAACAGAACAAAATTTTCCTGCTGTTGAAATTCATCGTGGCATGCCTCAAGAAGAACGGTTTGTTTAACTATTATTTAAAAAGACAAAATTCAATAAAGAAGAAAAAAAAAAAACAAAATTTATTTTTAGTTTGGCACGTTATAAAGAATTTAAAGAATTTCAAACACGTATTCTTGTTGCAACTAATTTATTTGGACGTGGTATGGATATTGAACGTGTTAATATTGTATTTAATTATGATATGCCGGAAGATACAGATACTTATCTTCATCGAGTATGTCACTAAGTTTTGTTTTTATTTTCGTATACAATAATTATATTTTAGGTTGCTCGTGCTGGTCGTTTTGGTACAAAAGGTTTAGCAATAACATATGTAGCAGATGAAAGTGATGCAGCAGTTCTTAATGAAGTTCAAAAACGTTTTGAAGTTCAAATTACTGAAATGCCCGATGAAATTGATGTAGCTACTTATAGTAAATATATTGATTTTAATTTTTACGAAATTTATTCTATTAAAAAAAAAAAAAAACTTTTTTTATTTTCTAGTTGAAAATCGTTAATCTTTTGGTCTCATTGATTGAAATATGAAAAAACAAAAACAAATAAAAAAAAACTAAACTCTGCGTTTTCTTTTGTTCTTTCTTCTTGCCTATTGTAACGATTTCTTTTTTCTTGTCAACAAAAAAACTTGTTTGTATGCGTTTTGAAGCATATGAATTTATTATTCTATCTTCAAACTCTTTCTTCTATTTAGTTATGTGTTGTCTCTCTCTCTGTCGTTTCCTTTTTTTCTCACATTTTTCTTTCTGTTTATATCGATACTCTATAACCAAGAACAACAACAATTTAATATTCTTTAAAGGACACTTATATATGGATTTTTTTCTCTTAGACATTCAAGGTTAGAAACCTTATTTCAATTGATATTTAAAAAAAAAAAACAACACATTTATGAAGAATGTACCACAATTTGTTTGTTTGTTTGTTTGTTTGTTTGTTTTTTCTTCTTGATTTGTCTTTTCTTGTGTGCTCGTGTTAGATTGTGTGTTGATGAATGTCTCATTCTTTTTCTCGTTATATGTCTGTGTCATTTTTCCATTATCATTTTCTTGGTCTTTTGTTGTTTTCTTTGTTGAAAATAAAAATCATTGGGACACAGATATACAGAAACAACAAAATATTTAATTTTCGATTTTATTCGATGAAGATATTGAACTCATTTTTCTTATCAATGATAGAGAAATGTTCAAAGTTGTTTTTTTTGTTTTTTGTTGATAATTAGGCAAGATATAACCGAACACACTGTATATATACTTATAGGATGTTCGTTTCCGTTTTAATTTCGTAGTTAAATTTGTACAAATGTAAGTTTAAGATGAATTTAGATTATTATCACAATGAAGATTACTAAGATTTCAGTTAGATCAATTTGTTATTTGAATAATTTTTAATCAAGATTAATTACAATTTAATTTATAAATTTAACAAATGAATATGAAATAGAATAAGAAAACAATCAGTATTTCAGAAAGAATGAGTCTGTCAATGATTAAATCCTTTCTTTTAACTTTCCCAGCAAAATGAGTCATACTTGTCATTAAGACGTGAATCGCCTGTACAGTTGGTGTACATTTGTGTTAGTGTTGCATTTTATACTGATATAAAATAGCATACACATATATATGCGTGCATTCCTTTTACAATGAATATACTGGATTGTCTCATTTGTTCTGTTATTCGGGGTCACCTTTTCTTCTATTTCATTAGCATTTCATGTATAGTTTTCTAGCACTGAGCTTGGTGTCGCTGTGGATTTTTCATAGTCTGACAGCCACACTATGAAAGATTGCAATGATGCTTATGAACATCATTTGAAGTACTTGCATTGACTTATTCTAGTACTTTTGTCTGTATGCATCACTTTGACTTTTTGGGAGAAAAGTTATCTTGATTTATCTCATTGCTATCCGATGTTAAAATCATAAAGATATGCATGAACTATTCTGCATTTCTTTTTTCCGAATCCATAAAAGATTACAATGCATATTAAAGTAAATGTTGATAATTGAAAACAGTGTTCATGAATGATTTTCTTATGAAAGACAAAAAAACTTTGAACACTCCTCTATACTTTCGAGCAGAGTGAACATAATTAAATTTTTTTATCATAAAGATCTATAATAGTCGACCCTATGTTATTAAGAGAAAAATTAATGATTTCTTTCAAAATATAAAACATCTACGATTGTATCTAAAGTATTCATAAAAGAACATATTTATTTTCATTTGATGAACTTGTTTAAAAAATTTTTTGAATATCTTTATTTTTATCGCGTTCATCAATTACAATGATTTGACTTAAACTAATCTCAGAAGATTATCTATTATGATAATTTGATATATCTCTTATAGTTACATCTATACAGTAGAGGAAAATATAAGTTGTTTATTCGCGCCATAGAGTTTGTTTTTTTCAATCAAAAAAAAAAAAACAACACTCAAATGTGTCTATATTAAAATAATTCATATGTCTAATAAAAAGATTGACCGATCAATGATTGATAAAAATCTAATTCGAACAAATAGTGATTTAACTAATAATACAAAATCAAATAATATCAAAGATAAAATGAATATAAAAATTCATGAAATGAATCCATCACCTGGAAATATTCTTCTTCCATCAACAATTGGAATTCCATCAAGAAATGATAGGTCAGAAAGTCGTTTACGTGATCCTCGTATTCTTTGGGCACCAGCTATAAGTATTAGTGGTAAAATTGATCAACCATTAATAACACTACAATATCAAAAGAAACAACAACGTATTGCAGAAAAAATTGAACAAATTAAATTAAATCCTAAGATTGCAACAAATAATGATTTAAGTCATTTAACAAGATTAGGTAATGATAAAACAAGATTACCTATATCATTTCTTCCGCATAAAATTATTCCATCAAAAAGACCTTTATCAATAACACAGAGAAGTAAAATATATTATATTGAAATTTAAAAAAAAAAAAAAACCTAATTCAATTAATTCAGGACCTGGTCCAACAAGTTATCAACGATATAAAGGTTACAATCAAATAGGTGAAGAATATATATATACTCAACAACCTCGTATTCGTATTCATCCATTAATTGGACCAAGATTAAAACGTGAACGACATCATATTGATATTAATAATAAAATATTATTGGAAAAGAAAAATAATTTTCAAAATATAAAACCATTTTGGACAACAATCGGTACTCGAACATATAATTCACGTTTACCAAACGCTCCAATTTCTACCATTCATCATCGATTTGATATGATATGTATCTATGAAATTTTTATTTTAACGATTATTAAATTCGGGGTGTTTTTTTTAGTCGATACAGAAGATAAAAAAAATAAATTACAAGAAATGACTATACCTGGACCAGCTATGTATCCAATAATCCATACTAATAATGAAATAATAAAACGAAATATATGTGGTGGTGTTCAAGGTATAACTATAGCACCAAAATATCGTGAAAAACGTTTAGAATTATCTGGTCCTGGACCAGCAATGATTGAACGAGAATTATTAGATAAAGGAGTAAGTCAAATATGATTTCATAGAATGAAATAAAATCTATTTTCTTTTATTAGTATAAAAATATTCTAAAAACATCACCAGCCTTTACAATGTCTTCGCGTTGGTCTCCTTATTCACATACATATATGGATGAATGTTCTGATAATTTTTTTTGACTAACTATTTCTGTTTGTATTCTCTCTCTCTCTCTTTTTTTTTTGTCTTTTTACTTTCAATATTCTTGTATTGATTAGCCTTGTCTGTCTACCTCTAAGTTCTTCTCGTTCTTTTTTTTTCCCTTTCTTTTTCATCTATGACCATATTTAGTGCTGATGCGTTTGATAACCTTAATGATGATACTCATTCTTCAAACACTTGTCTATGTGAACATTAAAATAGTTATAATTGCTCATGTTTCCCTTGAATAATTACTATGTTGTCGTATGGTTGTGCTTGTATACATTAGCAATGAATAAAATGCTGAACGAAGGTCAAATGTTTGTATATATGAGTGAAACAAAATCAATTTAATAGTGAATTTCCTTAGAGTGTAAAGACAAAAATTATGAAATTGTAATGAACATGATTGCAAAAGAAAAATTGAACATTTGGAATTAATATCAATTTGATACGATGATAAAATAACAACGTTCAATGCCATAAAATAGTGAATGGACCATGAATATCAAAAAAAAAAAAAAAAAAAAAAGAATGACAGACAGGTAATAGTTTGTTGTTTCTTTTTTTCTCTTCTTTTTTTCTTTTTTTTGATTTGACACTCATATATTATGTGAAGAGAATATTTTCATGCATAAGTGATTGATTCAACAGTGACGGACATCAATGGGCTGCATCATTCATTTTCTACTATTCTTATTACCATTATTAGGTAAAGAATATTAATTATAAGTTTTCATTTCAAAAAAAAAAAAAAAAAAAATCAATAGAACTTTTAATTAATAAAATGTTTGAAGAAAAAAAAAAAGAAAACCTCATTTTCTTTTTATATTTGATTTGAAAAATCCAAGGTCAAGATAAATAGAGAAACATATATATAAATCAAAAGATTTTAATGAATTTATTATCTATTTATAGTTGGTAGTAATATATGCAATAATCGAATTCATCTTCATAAACAACAAGATAAATCTTCAATTTATTGTTCATCATGTTCAACATATTTGGATGGAAAAAAATCAACTTCTATTATACAATTAGAATTACCATCATTAACACAAATAACTGGTATAATTGTTCGAAATTCTAATCAATATCAAGAAAATAATTCGGTAGGATAACTTTTTTTTTGTTTTTTCTTGAATTCGTTTAATTTTTGATTATTGAATTTAATTTCTATTTAGAAAATAGATTCATATTTTATTGAATATCGACGAACACAAGATGGTCCTTGGCATTCTTATGGAAAACGTCGACAGCGAAAAGTATTTAAAAAAAATGAAAAAAAAAAACAATAAATCTTTTTTTTTTAGTTGATTATCGAACGACGTCGTTTATTTTTTAATGATCTTGATCATTCAAATAAAACACGTACATTTCTTCCATCGATTATTGCGCGACAAATTCGAATTATTTTCGGAACATCATCCGTATCAATATGTACAATCATTCAAGTCTATGGTTGCCAATCTCAAAGTCATTATAATAATTAAAAAAAAACATTTTTTTTTGTTACTAGAAAATATTAATGAAAATTATATTTAGATGGTCTCATATCAACACGTTTTCCTCAACGATCAATTATTAATACTGATTTAAAATATGATGGATTAATTGTAAATTCAACTGCTCGAGGTAAAAAAATATTTTTAAAATCACAAAATTATTTGAATATTTAGAAGTTTTTTTTTTTTTTGTTTTTTATTAAGGTGGTTTAGGTATGTTAACTGATGGTGATATAAATCAATTTATTCATTGGTCTCCATCATCAGAACCAATATTACTTCTATTTGCATTTGATAAAATAAAAGAATTTCAATCAATTAATCTTGATATAAAATGTTCTTTATGGTTATCATCAAGTTGTACATTAAAAATAAATGTTGGTATATTAGAAATTGTTACATCAAATCATCTTTGGACAAATCGTTTTCATACAATATCAATACAAAATAATCTATATTATAATAATCATACAACAATAACACATCTTATATTATCTATACCGAAAACAAAAGGTCAATTTGTAATTATACAAATAAATACAAAAGAAAGTTTAGCAATTAGTGAAATAACATTTAATAATCAAAATGAATATGATGAACAAGATATAATACCATCATCAATTTATATTGAAACTAATCTACATCGATTAGAATTCTTAGCATTGAATTCTATATCAAATGATATAATACGTAAGTTAAATTAAACAAAAAAAAAATTTCTAATAAATTTATTATTATTAAATTTTCAAAAAAAAAACAAACAATAGTTCATCATAAATTATCATATTTATTAATATTTATGTTAATCATTTGTGTTCTACTTCTAATGTTTTTACTTATTTCATTTATGTTTAAAGAAAAAAAAATTAATCATATACAGTAAGAATTAAGATAATCAAAAATTTTTATTTAAAAATTTCGTTTTTTTTAAAGAATTATACCTGAAGAAAGTTTAACAATGTCAATAACAAATACAACAAATGATGAAAATATTCAAGAGTACAAAAAAATTTTCTTTTTATAATTAATAATAATATTATCGATTTATTTCTAGTCGTTCACAATCAGATCTCTATTTTAATCTTGAAAGTAAATCAATTTTTATTCTTTTTACATACCAAAAAAAAAAAAAACTATATTTTTATTTTGTATAGATAATGATGATGATGAATTAAATTTAAATTCTTTACGACCTATTAATTCACAAAAAATTGTTAATGAAAGTGCTAAAGCAACTATACGTACATTGCCTTCACATCGACGAGTAAATAATATTTTGTTTTTTTTTTTAAATACATTTCTTCATTTTATTATAATGATAATAGTCAATGACACCAAGACGTTCTGTATCGAATATTCATTCTGTTTGTGATCATTTACCTGAAATTGATCGTAGTGAAATAATAATTATTCAAAATCTTGGTGCTCAAAATAATCATCAAGTATTTTTAAGAACAACAACTAATAATAAAGAATTCTTTCTATTTTCTTTTATTTTTAGTGTTTTTATAGTGAATATGGTCAAAATAAATTATCTGTTATTCTATATGAACGAGATAATAATGAGTATTATCATAGAAATTTATTTTTAATTAATATAAAATAAGTTTTTTTTTTTTTTTTTATTGAGATTTTTTAATTTATCAAAATTAATAGATCATAAAAATGTTATTTCTTGTCTTGGCTATGTTTATATATCACCTGAACGATGTCTTCTAGTCAGTGAATATAGTCAAGTAAATTTATTTGAATATTGTCAAAAAATGTCGATTGAAAATGAAAATACTTTAATGTAAGAAGAAAACAAAACAAAAAAATAAAATAAAGAAATTTGTTTTTTTTTTTTTTGTATGATATAAATAGAATTCTTATGGAATTTCTCAATGATATTCTATCAGCTTTAATTCATCTTGAATCATTAAATATAATTGTACGTGATTTAACATTACCTAATTGTCTTTTATTTGATAATAAAACAATAAAATTATCTGATTATGCTAAATACGATGATCGTTATGTATCAAGATATGTTCAACAAATGCCTATTCGATGGTTACCTGGTGATATTGTTACAGGAGTAAATATTTACTATTGATTTTTTTTTTTTTTTTATTGTAAATTTGATTTTTTTGTTTTAATGTTTAAAGGATGAAATTTGGTCTATTCAAACAAATACATTTATGTTTGGTACTCTTGTTTTTGAATTATTTCATTTGGGCTCATGTATTCCCTATAGTAATTTAAATAATGATGAAGTTTTACAATTTTTTCATGATTTATGGCCAAATTCAAAACAAAATGGTATTGAACCATCTGTTCTATGTTTTTCAACATATTTTCCACGTCCAACATTATGTAATGATCGTCTTTATGCATTTATTGAACGTTGTCTTTCATGGTCAAGTCTAGACCGACCATCATTTCGAGAAATAAGTCTCTATTTAAACGAGACAACAACAACAACAACGGCTGTGCTACCTCAGTGACCGTTGACCGAACAGTGAAGAACATATTGTGGCATGATAGCGAGAAAAGAAAAAAAAAAGAAAGAAAGATAATACGTGTATTTAGTACTGTTTGCTTTAATATATATAGTAACAGAACAACAGTCTGTAGGCATTTATCTGCTTTCTAAGAGTAAAGGACGGAGAAAAAAAAAATCGCAGGAGAAAAGAGAGACAGTATTTACCCACTGCGCTGCCATTTATAGTATTATTTATTGTACGTTATAATGTTGAACAAAATTTTCTTGCGAATAGTAACAAATTATGGACGAAAATTTTCAACTCTACCTTCAGCTGTTCCAAAAGCAGCACTTTCGAATAATCGATGTATTCAATTGAAACAAATGCTTTCATCACCTCAACTTGAATTCATTATGGAAGCACATAGTGCTTTAAGTGCGAAAATTGTTGAAGAAACAGGTTTTAAGGTAAGTTTAAGTGTTGATAATAAACGATAAAATTTTTGTTTTTTTGGAATAGAATGAACAATTTTTCTTCAACTGTTATTAATAAATATATTCGTTGTTTTTTTTTTTTCTATATCACAAATGAGAAAGAGCAACATAGTTTTTTTTTTTTTTTTTGGTTATCAACCATTACTCTTATCAGAATTAAATGAACCGGAAATTCAAACAGCAAGAAAAAAAAAATGTAAAAAGAATTTACAAACGATTTTTATTTCTTTCTACTAGACTTGTAGGATTAGTATTGGTTGTTTTTTCTTTTTATTACATGCGCATGTTAAATATGCTCAAATGTTTTATATATAAAACTAATCAATCATCAAGAATTCGAGCATGATGCATATCAATGTACTGAGAGAAATTATATTTCTAAGAGTGCAAGTGAAGTAGAAATGATGTATGTCAAAAATATTGACATACTAGTTTGATCGATAATTCTTCTATGACGTCAATCATAAATAGAAATTATTCTTAAACTGAATGAACGGATTATAGCGTTGAGAAAATGAAACTAATTAAAGAAACAATATGAAATGTGTTTCAAACAATTCTATTGTGATTCAACATAATTAAAGTTCATTACAATTCAATTGATTTGACCCTGGACTGATGGGTTAGAGATATGTATTTAAGTGTAATTCGATAAATAAAATATTAGAGAAATAAAAGAGTTGACTTGATCCATAAAAGTGTCTCGTTTCACGAAACACAAAATTTTTTTTGCGTAATATAAAACTTAATTTTTAGGTATATAAAGAAAAAAAGTTCGACTATGTTATACACTTGTCTTATAGAGTTTAGTTTATATGTGCAATTTTATTGGTTTTTATATAAAAATGTTGTCAAATTTTTTTTTACCGCTCGTTGATATATATATATATATGTATCGAATTAGTGTATTTCTATGAATGATATCCGGTCATAGATAATAGTATATTAATGATTTTAGAGATTTTATGCTCGATGTTTCAATATTTTAGATAAAAGCCTTAAAATTAAAAACATTCAGGTTTTTTATCATTCATATTATTCTGTGTCTTGTCCATATTTGGAATAAAACGTATGCTATATATATATATATATATATATTGATTGATAAAGATATTATAGAAATCAATACAATTAGTGATATTAGATGTATTTTTATCGAAAAAAAAAAATTAGTATCATATTATTCAAATAATGTAATTTTAATTTATCATAATCATATATTCAGATTCACTCTCAAACCTTTAATAATTATTACATCACATCCTCATGCGTACAGTGTTGAATAACCGTGTGAACTATTCAATAATTTAACAACAACGATCTACACTTCTAAAGGCATTCCAGATCGAACAAGCACGCTTGTAAATGATCGTAAATCGTCGTATATTGATGTATTTCATGGCTTAGTCTTACAATCGTATTTCTCCGTATCTAAGAAGGATAAATTCGGTCATGATACTGAGCCATGTTGTACACCAAAATACAGTCGTTTTCATAGTGTATACAGACTGTGTATTCTTCATCCTAGAATATTATTCCTCGACCAATTTGAATTCTAATGTGTGTAGACGCCCTTCTTTGTCATCCTCTGCAATCATTGGTACCATAGTTGCCGTATGGTAATTATATTGCAGACAGATACAGGTAAATTTCTGTTTCTAGACCCTATCTTTACAGTCTAGGGAACAGTCTAAAGGAAAATAAAAATTTTTTCTATTTCGTTTAACTTGATCAACAGATAAATTTCTTTTTTGATTGAATCAATAATATAGTTCTGGACACTTGAAGTCAGTATATATTGTATGCTATTAATAGAATATTTGAATTTAGGAAATGTTCATTCTTTAATCATATCACATTTGCCGTTTTCCAGTTCAAACATTACTTCTCTTGGAACAGTTGTGGTTTTTTTTTAAATTGATGAAAGAGTTTAGTTGAAAATATATTTCGCAGTGTAGAATGATCTAATATTACTATTATCTTGCTGATCTAAAAGAAATAAAAACTATGGATGAATATCTAAAACTGAACCAACGAGGGAAGGCTATCGATTGTTCAATCGCTTTTGCGTTGAGACTATGTGCATTATGTAGATCCAAATGAGCTATGAATACATTCTGACAAGAGTTCGGATCCTTAATTTATTGCTACAGCGATACTGCACTTTTACGATATTTTGTTATATAAATACCGTGGCGCCCCTCAAAAATAACAGAAAAACTAATTTTCAAATTTCGACTTGAAACTTTACATGAAAACAGGCTTTCATGAGAATAGTTTTTTGTGAAAGTTTCAGATGTTTTGATTTACTTCAATCTTGAAATGAAACCATCATACCTGCTAGTTTATCTTGATGATGTAAAAGATACATTATTACCATAGTTGTATATGCGAACAGGAACAATGACAAGATCTGAAATATTCCCAAAAAACTATTCTCGTTAAGACCTGTTTCTATGTAAAGTTTCAAGTCAAAATTTGTAAACTAGTTTTTCTGTTATTTTTGAGGAGTACCACGGCATTCATTTAACAAAATATCGTAAAAGTGCAGCATCTCTGTAGCAATATATTAAGGACTCGAACTCTTTTCAGGATGTATTCATAGCTCATTTTGATCTACATAATGCATATAGTCTTAACGCAAAAGTGATTGAACAGTCGGTGGTCTTCCCTCATAAGATGAAATTTCTTTAAACATAATTGATAATTCATAAATTCCTATAGGCTATTTGGGCAAGTGGCTTATCAATGTCAGCTTCACTTGGTTTACGTGATTCAAATGAAGCATCATGGACTCAAGTTCTTGATATTCTTGAATTTATGGCTGATGCAACAAATATTCCAATTCTTGTTGATGCTGATACAGGTTTTGGTAATTTTAATAATGCTCGTCGTCTTGTTCGTAAACTTGAACAATTGGGTATAGCTGGTGCTTGTATTGAAGATAAATTATTTCCAAAAACAAATTCATTATTAGACCATCGTGAACAACCATTAGCTGATATGAAGGAATTTGCTTTAAAAATTCGTGCTATGAAAGATACTCAACAGGATCCTAATTTTTGTGTTGTTGCTCGTGTTGAAGCATTTATAAGTGGTTGGGGTTGTGATGAAGCTGTACGTCGTGCTGAAGCTTATTTATCAGCTGGTGCTGATGCTATATTAATGCATAGTAAACAAAAAGATCCTAAAGAAATTGAACAATTTATGAAAGTATGGAATAATCAAGGTCCTGTTATTATTGTTCCAACAAATTATTATCAAACACCAACAGAAACATTTCAAAAATGGGGTATATCAGCTATTATATGGGCTAATCATAATTTACGTGCAAGTATAAAAGCAATGCAAGCAACATCAAAACGTATTTATAATGAACAAACATTAATTAATGTTGAATCAAATATTGTTAGTGTTAAAGAAGTATTTCGTTTACAAAATGATGAAGAATTAATTAATGCAGAAAAAAAATATTTACCAACTAAATCAAAAAAATAAACATCTTGCTTTTTTTTTCTCTATTATTATTATTACTATTATTAATTTTTTTTGTTATTTAATCAATTAATAAAAAAAAGAAAAATGTTTTCCTTTTCACAAAGAAAATATGAATATTTAAAAAGTCTTGCTTATATAGAATTCCTATGAGAGAAAGATACATCACGAACATGATGTTTTTTTTTTTTTGTTTTCTTTCAATAAGAACTCTTTAGAGACGAACTATGATTAACAGCTGTATCATTGACATTATTTACATATCTCTAACTCAAATAAACAATCCACCTGTTATTTTTGATTGTTTCTTTCGGCGTTTACTGTTGAATCTTATACTTATATTGTATTATTTGACTTGTTTTGAAAATTTTGGTTCTACCAAATAAGATTTGATAACTAGAACAAAAAAGTCACTACTAAGAAAAATAACAAATTTTTGTTTCATTGATACATAAGCACTTATGATATATATATTTTTTTAATTTTCTTAACAAATTCTCATTCGTTACAGTTAATTATTTTTCGAATAATTTAACTAATCAAAGATATATTTGTCATGTAAATAAGAGATTAAACGATAATAGTAGAAAGATATAATTGGAAAAAATTAGGTGTGCCATATTTTTTTTTCTTGATGAGAAAGACAGGGTAAGAAATTTTGTTATGAGTAAGAATTATTCCCATAGTTTTGAAAAACAAAATCATTATCAGATATACTAACATTAATCGATTTAAATGATATGATATATTTGTTTTTTAGAATAAAAAATACAAAACATTGTCACAGATTTCTTGCTGTGATTCATCTCCGGTTTATTTTTATTTTTTATTATATATAAAATGGTAATTTTGATTTCTATTCAATTCCAGCTGATGCTCGTTGTTACAAGTATAAAATAAAATGTATGCATCAGACCTCAATACATTTTCGAAGATATAATGGGAACGAAATATTCTTCATCAAAATGCACAACAACAACAATCGATTATATTCGAACTAAAGATGTTAATAAATTAAATCGTCAACTTAGTAAACGAAAAACATCATTTCGAAATAAGAAAAAATCAAAAGAAAAAGAAGAAAATAATATTCAATTATTACAATTTGATGTTGATCATGATCAACAACAACGTTCAGCACTTCATTTTGCTGCTATTGAAGGTTAGTTAGTTATTTATTAAATGAAAAAAAAAGAAAGAATTAATATTTAAATACAAAGTTATGTTAATTTTCTAGGTGATGCAACAATTATTGTTGCTCTTTATGAATATATGCATACAGTTGATGTTACTGATGCATCAGGTCGAACACCATTACATTATGCAGCAATTGCTGGTAATGAAGAAACATTAACGACTTTACTTGTTTGTAATCCTGATATAAATCGTATAAGTAAAGATGGAACAAGTCCATTACATGAAGCAATTATTCATAATCATCCTGGTATTATAGATTAAATAATTTTTCTTAAAATTTTTATTTTTCATTTTTCTATATCAAAAAAAAAGGTATTCTTACTCTATTAATTCAACATAATGCTGATGTTAATATATTATTTCAAAATTATCTTCCATCACTTATACTTGCTGTTTATCTTCAACATAAAAATATTGTTGAAATTCTTATTCGTCTTGGTATTAATCCTAATCTTACTGATATACATATGGGTCGAACAGCTCTTCATTATGCCGCTTATTTTCATGATAATACAGTTATATTTCATTTATTACTTTCATCAACTGTTCATCATACAATTGATATCAATGATCATGATAATAATGGATTTTCTATACTTGATTATGCTCGAGCAAATATTCATGGTAGTACAGCTATTGTTAATTTACTTTTACAATTAAATGTATATGATCCTGATCGTGGAGAAATATCAAATGATAATATTCAAATTGAAATACCAAATATAAAAATATTTCAATCGTTAAATGAACTTTCATTATTAAAGAACATAGATAATGAAATTAACACATTAGAAAAAATAAAACCTAAAAAAACACTTAAACTTGAAAAGAAATCTAAATAAAAACATATTAATATTACATTATTATTAGTTTTTAAATAATTATATAAACATTTATTCTATTTTATTCAATAAAAAAGAAATAAAAAAGAAATGCAAATTTTAATTTTATTGTCAACATTTTCTATTTCGCATATATCATTTTTATTAATTATAAAAAAGTATTCTTTCTACTATTTGTTTTTTTTCATTTTGTTTTTCTATAAGGCGTATTTACTCTTAGAAGCACATGACACTATCTTGCCTTCTTATTCGAAAAAAAGAAAAAAGAAAAAAGAATGCTATATATATATTGTGTACGACGCTATTTCTGTGTCGTCATTAAACTTTTTCTTTTCCAGCATACTCATAGGCAATTTTATATCGATTACTGCCGTCTTTCCATTAACAACAAAGTGTATTTATTCTGTTCTGTTCTGTTCTGTTCTATTCTGCTCTATGCTTATTTTCTCTTTTTTCTACTGACAACATCGTCAAGTTGTAGATTTTTCCTTTTCTGTTACTACCGCCGTCATTGGGTAAAAGATAAAAGTAGACGTCGGACTGAAATTAATCAAGCATGCAAAGTACACGTTAGACAATCATTGGAAGATCAACATATTCAGCTATATCATAGAATACGGAGACACGCAGACGATTTTTTTTTCTTCTGAATGTGATAAAGAAACAGATAGAACCTGATAAATTTATTATACGTAATTTCTTTACTCTGAGCAATACCAGTACGATCAAATGAATAGTTCTTCTACAATATTACCGTCGACTTCAATGTCAACGACAGCATCAACAAAAATATCATCAACAATATCAATAACAACATCAACAACAACATCAACAACAGCACCAACAACAATATTTAGCGATGATGCTATATTTCACATTATTACAAAATTTCTTAATGGAACAAAATTATACAAACATCAAGAAACTGATTTAATTGAACCTGAAAACTATCCTGCTCGTAATATTCATATTATTATTTGGATATTCACCATTATTACATATGTTCTTGCAATTCCAATAGCTATAAGATTAATTCGAACAAAAGCTTATTTAAATATAATTGATTATTTTTCATTTCATATTATACTTTGTTCATTTATTGCATGGATACCATCTTTAATATTTATACTTTATAATTGGTTTCAAATATTTACATTACGACTTTGTCGTTTACATTATGTTATTCTCTCAACAAATCTAACTGTAAGTCGCTTCAATAAATTAATAAAACAAAAAAAAGAAAAGATAAATTCTATTATTTATTTATTGATTTTTTTTTCTTCTCTTTTTTAGGTTCCATTTTTCTTTATACTTTATATGATTCTAGAACGTTTTCTCTATGCTCATCCATCATATAAACAAAAATTTACACATTTTTCTAATATGTTTTATATTCATTTATATGCAATTTTTACTTGGCTTTTCATAATGCTTATTTATGCTCTTGCATCACCATTTACTCAACGTGATACAATATCAAAAATATCTCAATATACAACGAAATATTGTCCATATAGTTATTCTAAATTAAGTGCAATTTCAACAGCACGTTCAATAATTTATTTTTGTTTATTTGTACCATCTATAATATTAATTGGTTTTGTTTTAAGATATTTTTATCTTATGCGTGGTACAAATCAAATTTCACCAATACAAAAATTATGGACAATACGTGTTACATCATTATTATGTATTATTGTTTTTTATGATATCTATTTATATTATCTTGAACATATTACTGATACATATAAATCAGTTTTTTTTAGCATCAATATTACGTTCAACTTATTATTTAGTACAATTAATTGTAATTGCTTGTACAGACCCATATTGGCTTGAAATATTATTTGAACGTTGTATTTGTCTATGTTGTACATTGACTGGTCGACGACGAAAACCAACAACGCCAGTTGCTATATCAACTGAAACAGAAATACATAATTTACCATATTCATCATCCCAAGGACATTATTCACTTGTTGATGATACAGTTAATGATGAATTTGATGAAGCTACTCATGGACCAGAACCAACATTACGTGTTATTGTTTAAACAAGAGAATATATTATTATATTTTATTATTTAAACGTTTGATGTATTTGTGTGCTTGACAATAAAGATTTTGTTTGTTTTTTTTCATCATATTGATAATTCTTGTCAAGGACAAGTATGTGTGTGATGATATATAATAAAATTTTATTGGTTTATTATATTATTATGTGAAGTATAAATGAATAGACCGATAGGTGACAAAAAATTTACTGATGAACTAAAGATGAAAACATAGGAAAAAAAAATATGTTCCTAGAATTATATTGATAGAAAAATATAAATGATATATTATTAGTAAGCTTTGTTTTTTGTTTTATTTCATTTATTTGCGGAGTATTGAGAAATTTGAAATACAAAAAAAAGAAGAGAACATTTGATGAAGAATTTCGGTTTCTTTTTCATGTAAATATATTTGATATTATAGCGTAAAAAGTAATTAAAAAAAATGTCATAGTTCATTGATTTGATTGTTATCATCATTACTACGTATATGATGAAACTATGGAAGTGTTGACATGCTCTAGTCTTGTCATATATATATATATATATAAGATGAAGACATTTTTCAAAGCATTCAGTATGTCAGTTGGTTTTCGAATTGCTATTGTTGCTATATTAGGAATTTTATTTTGTCTAATTGGTATAGCAAGTATAATTTTATCTATAATTGAATTATTCTATGGTCGACCAAGTGTTTATCATTATGATGAAAGTCAAGGTGGTTTAAAAATTGAAAATCCACTATGGCCATCATCAGGTAATTGTTGAAGAAAAACAAAAATTTTTTTTTTTTCTTTTTTTTACGAAAATATTTTAGGTAAAGGTTTTTGGGTTGGTCTTGTATTGATAGCAACAGGACTTGTTAGTATATTAGCATCTCGAGAATGGACTCTTCCATCAATTTTTGGATTTACGGTACTTGCTGGTATATCAACTATTCTTTCATTCTATTTAATAATGACATGTATTATACCTGTTCATTATGATACGAAATATTCTGATACATCAAGACCTCGTTGGCAATTGTATGAACTTATTGTTAATTCATTATTGATTGTTGTTGGAGGATTTGGTATTATTTTAGGTGCAATATCAACTCTTATTGGTAGTTATTTTATTGGTTGTTGTATTAATCAACGTGAAATATATGAATATATTAATGAACCTAATAGAATCTCAATATTACCATTAAGAGAGTACAAATATATTGTACCAAATGTTAGATCTAGAGGAGTTTTTTAATATGATTATTAAAACAAAAAATAAAAACTAATTGTATTCAAAATATAAATCTTTTTTTCAGTGTGAACAAAATGCTTTTAATAGAATATTCATCATTATAATAAATCAAATTTTATTATTATTGTAAAAATAAAAAGAATATTATTAATCATATATAAAATTAAAAACATTTAAGTTGTTTAAGAATACTTTCAAATGCTAATATGTCATATGATTATTCTTATGACATACAAATTCATAATGATTCATATGAAAATAGAAGTGATTCATGTGAATATTTATCTATATCTTAATGTATTTTTTATTTAGCAACAAATATTGACAATGAAATAAGTTTGATAGAAGTTATAAGCATTGAATAAAATATTTATTGCGATGGTAATTTAATTGAGTTACAAATAAAATCAAGTTTTATTTTGTAATATTATACTAGATGAAGGAAAAGATAATAAATTTTCTTATTTTTCTTTAAACAAAAAAAATCCTTATTGAGAACACATAATTTGAAAGATGTTTTCATTTTAAAAATCATCAATAATGAAATATTTCATTTTATTACAATTTTTTTAATATATTTGAAATAATAATAATTTATTTTAAAGAGAAACAATTTAACATATACACAACTTTTTATTCAACATATAAATCTAGCTTTCATTATTATTAAAAAGGAAATTAAATCAATCTTTTTTTTTTTTCTATTTTGTTTACAGTTTATATTTAGCGAAGTAATTAACTGAAAATATTTGTTACTCATGTGAATAATTGATATATTAGTAATT